TTTCCACCGTTCGAATCCGCTCGAGGAAAGGCCGTACGCACGCACGCACACTAGCAGAACGCGAACGAGTGCACACTCGTTCACGCGCGATTTAACGCAGAGCGAGAGAGAGAGAAGTTGCGTGGGAAAACGATACAATCGTCGCTACTGTTGCTGCACTTTCGACATCTGTATACATGTGTGTGCGTCTAAAGCGGTGCCGCGAAAAAAAATCGATGACAGCCCTGCGAGCACACCTAACTCTTCGCCTCTTCGCTTCTGCAAAACGACTTTTACTCCCTGAGGACGATCCTCGATTTCTCTCTCCCCCGTGTATTTCTCCCTCTTCGACCCTCTTTTTACCTACTTCCATCGCGCTTTCTCCCTCTCTCTCGCTCTTTCATTACGGCTTTATCTCGACGTCACCGCGCGTTCTCTTTATTATCTCAACTATTCCGGCACGAGCAAGACGGTAATAAGATTGCGGCCTCGTTGCAAGCGATATCGCTCCAATGAAAAATGGACTCGGCCAAAACAAAAACTTGTGAAGCGTGCGTTACCGACTTTTTTTTCCTCTTTTCCATTCTTTCCTTGGGCATTATTTTCTTTTATCAAATGAGAAATGCTATTACATGCGAATGGCGCTTCGCTTTGGCCTTGCGGCTAAACGAATTAAATATCAAGCCGTATAGTTTCTTTGCGAAGAATCTTATTCCGTCGTGGAGATTAAGGGTTATTCCGAGAAGTTAATAGTTATAAGATCGTCATTGTAATTAAAAGAAACTCGTATAGAGACAGTGATATTTCCTCTTAGTTTTTTTTTTATGTATCAGATGTATCTTTGCATTTCATAGATGCGCGTGCATAATTTTTCAATTTTCCATGCGCACTTTTATGCTATATATTTTCTCAAAAGTCTTTCTATCCACCTGTACAAATTTTGTGAATCTGATTTCAAATTCGTATGTCGAGATTAAAGAAATTTTTATAATTAATTCCGTGTTTAGAGTAGGTACTGTGCTAAAATTCGCTCTTCAAATCCCTCAAAGGGTTAATCTAAATTCTTGAATTAATTTCGTTTTAATTAAAGTTTCTCCAACGAAAACAATGTATTGCTATTAATTAAAAATAGAATCGATACTAATACACAAGATTATCAATAAAATGTTTTTCCGAACCTTCGGAGGTTAGTGTGATATCTTTATTTCCCAACGAAAGTTATTTAATATGAAAGTGTTGAGCGTGATGGAATTCCAATCGGATTTCCTGCTCACAATTCCAATTAATTTCCTTGAATACTCGAGTAAGCGAGTTGGATCGAAGATACGTCGGGGTAATGAGTTATCCAAAAGCGCCGATGGAAATAATTCAGCGCTGAAAGCCGTCCGAGAAAAGCAGGCGCCGCAGCGAACGGAAAAAGCCGGAGCTGCGCGCAGACAACTGCTCGGGCGAAACAAACGCCAATCAAGCGCGATGCGCCCGGCGGAAAACTAATGGTACGCGCGCGTCAGAGAGTGTGACCCGGCGCACGCGAAGCCTCAATCTCATTGAAATCGGCGCTCGTCGCGTCGCTTTAATTTGTAATTTCGCGAGTTCGCCGGCAAACTTAGATTCGCGAGCGCGCCACGTGCCCAGATAGTTTGGCCCCTTCTCGAGCTCGCCTCGCGCGCGCGCCGGGGAATATACAAGACAGACGATGCCGCGACGCTTAGACAGCTGATGGAATTAGTCAAGTCGACGGTAGTCGCGTCTCGCCGCGCGCGACGACACGCGAATATATCATGCTCCTCGGCCGTCGATCGCTGCGGGGGGGGGGGGGGGGGGGCGAGTGTCGGCTCGCTTACTTTCGTCCAAAAAGTGGTGTTCACCCGTAGGTGCGCGCGGCTCGCTGCGCGGCGCAACCCAATTCTTGGTGAATAATTGCGCCAGTTTGTGAACGCCCACTTCTCAGGATTTCCATCGTTTGGTTTCGACCGTTATTCATTCTAAGTAGCCAAACCAACCCCGTGCCCTCCTGCAGCAGCTCCCTCTGCAAGCAATTCCCGGCAGCCGATTCTATGAATTAATTAAGCTCGCGTCGAGCGAAACGCCGTGTGCATGAATTTCACATGCCGACCCTACGTACACGCAAAATCAAAAGATTTACTATTCCGCAGCGGCGGCGCGATCCCTCGGAGCGCGGCCGTGAGCCGAGATTGAATCACGCGAGGCGGGGACTGAAGGCAGCGTCCATCGAAATCGCACGATCGCCGAAGACAACGCGGGCGAAGCGCCAGGCGGAGATTCGGCGGCCGAGCGGAGCAGTCGAGGAAGGACGGGACGCTTGACGCGCGAGTGCTGAGTCGGTCGCTCGTGGCGTGTACGACATTTTGGTCGCCCGGCGAAAGTGGCTGCTCGCTCCGCTGATCTGCCTGCAAATCGAGCGTCGTCTCCGCGCGATTGTCGACCTCGGCAATGCGGCGCGCGCGTTAATTAACGCCTCGCGCCGTGCAGCCTTGCGCGCGCGCGCGCGCGTGTGTGTGTACACGCGCGAGCACGGGTTGTACGCGAGACGGGGTCCCTCGAGGCATTAACGCCGGCAGTGAGGGGTGCGGCCAGAAAAATGTCCTCTCGTGATGGGGGAATTGGCATTGTACTACCTTGGAAAAGTCTTGTTTTTTCTCCGTCTGTCTTCTTGCTTTTATTGTCCTAGGCGGGAAATGCCCTTGCTAAGCTATTTCCCTATGGCAGGCCAAACAGCCGATGTAATGCCTCGCTCTTTCCAAAGCGAAGCCGCGCCATGCTATAATCATTATTATCAAACTACCATTGTCTTCAACGCTTTCAATCAATTTTCAAGCAGTTTTACGAAGTCATTTGCAATAAGTTTATCCAGATACAGTGCGCAAGAATATCGTTCAAATATTTTTTTTTTTAGTTTTTCGATGTAATTATCGATAATTGGAGAATTCATTCGATGGTAATGAAAATATAAAAGTAAACCGAAATTAAGTACCAATTGATAACAAAATACGCGACTGGCTATATTACCGTCGATTAAAACAGAGACCACCAACTTTGTTTTTAAGTTTCGCGGTAAAGTTTTAACCAGAGATTCTTCGAAAAAGCACTTATCGGCACCAAGCGTTGGATAATGTAACTTTCTTTTGGAAGCACAACCAAAGTAAATTACTTTTTACCACCATACTTCGATACACTGTATACGAGCGTTCAACAACAATAGTATTTTTCTTGAAATCACAGTGCAATCCGCAAGCGTTAAAGTATCTATAGCCGAAAAAGGTTCTAAAAATAAAGCATAAAGCTTAAAACGCCATCGAAAGCGAGCGAGAGGAGGGAAAAAAAGAGGAGTGACCACGGAAACGATCGAAGTCCTCTCGCTCTCGGGCCAATATAAAGCGAGTGCCGTACGTCGCACGGTGGATGGAAAGAGAGAGAGAGAGAGAGAGCTTTTGCACGTTTGATGCGAAAGCGCGGTACCATAGCGAGAGCGACGCTCACACAGACCAAAGTGTTCGTCCGAGCGGCAATCGGTTTTTTGCCTCCCCACCTCCGCCGCACACAGACGCGCGGGCGCACACTGTGTATTCCATTTGTCGCGTCGGATCGTCCATTATCCTTTCGCGTCGCTGCACGGTTCCGGCCGAATAACATTTAAAGGAGAAAGCGCCCGCGCCCACCACCGCCCATTCCTAACGGCTGATCGCGTTCAGAATCCAACCAGCCTATAAGGGGCAGATGCTCCGCTCTGGCCGCTCTTGCAATGCACGTATCGCCAATGCAAAAAAGCTTCGGCGAGAGGGGGGGGGGGTGAACAGCGTGCTTAGCTCTCCCTTTTCCAAATCTACCTGTGTGCATGCGTGCGCTTGCGTTACAATGCCCGGCAATCCCTGTTTTTGTGGGTGGATGATGCTTGCACTTTGTGTGCCCAGCGGCGGCCCTGCATATGGCTTTATTTATGCCAGCAGAGATTTTATTTTTGGGGCTGGATAGCCACTTCAAAATTTTAGAATATTAACCAGGGCTACTCTGCTGCGAGCTTTTCTCTCTCTCTCTCTCTCTCTCTCTCTCTCTCTTTTATTTTCCCATTCACCAGGCAGCTGTGCTCTGCGCTGAATGCGTTCTCACTTGCTATGAAACTTCGCTACTGGGTGGAGCTTGCCCGTTCTTGCCGTCATTGATAATGATGAGGTATTGATTATTTAGTATCGTTTTCAGCTGAAATGTACTTTCAGTTTTGTCCATTGATTGGCCGCTCCCTAATACTTTGTTCATTGCAACGATTCTGGCAAGTATAGAAATTATAATCCAAATGTTCTTCTTCATCACGCATTTTTGTACAAAGACTACGTCAAATGCGGCTCTGATGAAAAACGAGGGAAATTGGTGTTTTTTCCGTTTATTTTCCGAAACGTTTGTTTCCATATTGTTCCATTTTAAATGCTACCTTTATACTTTTGCATAAAAGCCTATCCGCATTTCAATAGAAACGTTGCAAACTGGAACATTCGAACTTTTACCGTCTATACGCAGAATATTTTCTGCAAAAACGATGATAAGCGGCGAGTTGCGTTCGAAACGCAGGGAATGTTTGAGGTATTTTTTCATATAATGGATAATTCGTAAAATCTCAACTGCTGGATTGCTGTAAAACAAGGTGACTCCTTTATGCAAATGTTGAATGTGAAATATTTTTACGTCAGCGCGCGAAATGTCTATAAAATATAATACTTCAAAATTACCGAAATGATAAAAACGAAGAAAATATTGAACTCCTATTTGATCAAATTGACTAACGAGATTCAGATGCTACTATTTGTTTTAATTCAGATTGAATTTCAAAATTCAGAATATAACTAAAACCTAAACGGCCTTTGATTTTTTCGTATGTACCTTTATGCAACTTCAACAAGGGATATAATTCAAATTAAACAAAGCTCACGTACACACACCAAGTAACAGCAAAAGAGAGAGAGAGAGAGAGACAGTGAGACTAATCCAGGGGAATTTGTCTGTTGCAGATAGCCGGCGCCAGTGACGAGTCGAGAGCACAAAACGGCAGTAAAGCGCAGCGGAGCGCATCCGAAAATTCAGGGAGGCCAAGTCTTTGGCGCCGCCGCCATCCACGCCAGGCAGCCAGCCAGACAGACACCCTTCATATCTCTGCCCTAGGAAAACTCTCCGCGTTCACACGCGCGCGCACACGCGCACAGTGCAGATACCGTAAGCCTCCCTCTCTCTCTCTCTCTCTCTGTTCCGTATCGCTCCTGCTCCGGCGCGTCGCCGTGCGCATGCGCGTCAAGGGAGAAGCCGCGCACAGCCGGCACCTCGGACAAGCTAGCAGCCGTCGGCAGTTGGACGCTGATCGTCCGCGAGGCGCGATTGCCTGTGTCGAGTCGTCGTCGTCGTCGTCGTTGTCGTCGTCGTCGTCGTCGTCGTCGTCGTCGTCGTCGTCGTCGTCGTCGTCGTCGCCGCGGCGCGAGTGCAGCAGCCTCCGCACGTGAAAAGTCGGAGAAGCAAAGTGTTAGCCGGCTGATTGTCGGGAAAGTGCGTTGCGAGGCATTGAATACTGAAGAATCGAGTGTCAGAGAGAGAGAGGGATAGTGTTCTGTGCGGGTCGCTGGGCGAATATGCGCTGGAGGACGGTCCCACCGATAGCAGCAGCAGTCAGAAGCAGCAGCGCCAAGTGAGATCCTTTACGCTGCCAGGCTGTCTGACTTGTGTGTCGTCCGTTGCGTGCCGCATCATCGCGTGCACGCGCGTCCTTGCCTCCCTTATCCTTGACGTTCTTCTTCTCTCTACATTCCTCCCTTCTCCCACTGCTCCACCTCTTCTGTGCGCTTTTTCTTTCTGTTCGGCGACGTGCAATTCCGTTTTTTTGTGAGCTCAAGACAGAAGACAGACATGGCGCGCGAGACGCTGCTGGCCGGATTCTTGTTCCTGGCACTAGGGGTTGGCTTGGCCTTCGCCGCATGGCAGGAGAACGTCAGGCCCAAGATGGTCGTTCAACTAGGTAAGCGTTTGCACTTGATTTTTACGATTGCGCGATTTTGACTCGACGCGAGTTTATACACGCGTGCGTTGACTGTCGTAAAAGTGGGGAGGGGGTTGGACCGAACCCTCCAGTGTGCGTCTGTCTCAGCCGCGCGATCGATATTTATTAACTGCCCCTTCGTGGGAATAAATACACTCTAAGGACATTACGCTCTCTTTCGATTGTGTTGTCGAGTGCACGGATAGACGTTACGTTCGTTGAGATTGCTTTCAACGACAAATAAAATGACGGATTCCCATCGCGTCGCTCAATTAACAATGACAATCGCGGCGCTCTGCGATTATCTACGACCGTCGGCCGATTAAAGTCTTTCAGCGAAGAGTGAGTCATCTTTCATATTGTCAATGAACTGCACTGTGTACACAACGATAACGGCCTTGATCGCAGTTTCCTCGCCGACGGTGTTTCTGTTTTTTTTTATCGCGCGCAAGGCACTCACTCCGCTGTAAGGTTAATGACCTGCCACGTCTGGTATAGATCGAAGTCAATAAATAACAGATAGGATAAGAAAGGCAGAGTATTGGCCAATCGAGATGCGGTAATAATCGGGCGAAAGCGTTGCGCAATTTGTAGAATCCAACGCTAAGACAAAGTACAATAGCGCGCATGGGAACGGCTCGCGGGTACAGTAGTAACACGCACGCGTAGACAGAAGTAGCTCTTTCAATGGCCATTAACAGCGTCTCGTGAGTGGTTCCTATATAGACGTGTAACATAAGCGCGCGGCGATCGAGTAAAAGGACATTAAGCATGCGTGAAACGTTCGACGCGGAGTTTCCTTTCCTTATCTGGCTTGCGTCTGTTTCATCCGCCCGTTCTCCATTACGGCTTGTTTCGAAGCGCGGCTTTCGGCAACTTTGATTGGTTCTCCTCTCTCTCGTGAATATCTCTGGAAAATATACATATATACATATATATATATATATATATATATATATACACATACATACATGTACACGCATCGTCGCTTTGTTCTCTTTTCCATCGTGCTTTTATCAATTCGATTACGACTGAGTGACTTTTCGAATTTGCCGCTAGTCTATCAATTATTCAGCGGCTCTCTCCCACGTGTGCGCGCGCGCGACTATTAAGGGTATAAATATGAATGCAGGATAATGACGCGACACGCGTGTCTTTCTGCAGCGCGAGTGTGTCGGTTGAAAACGAACGAATGACAAACGAGTAAAGCGTATGCATAGGCAGAGGGAATTCGGGTATAGATAGATAAGATTTGCTTTTCGTGGAAGAAAAAAGCGTTGCTGCGTTGGGCGATGAGGGAGCGAGAGGCCGAGGACGTCGATAAGTTAGCCTTTCAATGAGATTACTTTTGCTTCGCTTCGACGCGAGAGAAAGAATTTCCACGGGAGAAAGAGAGAGAGAGAGAGAGAGAGAGAGAGAGAGAGAGAGAGAGAGAGAGAGAGAGAGAGAGAGCAGAGAAAGAAGCATTTGTTCTCCAAATGTAAAACTGCATTTACTTATCAAAGCCCAAGCTCACCGGGAGGTTTGCATTATTCCGCGTTGTACGCTAAGCACGCGGCAACGTTCGATGAACCAAGAAGAGGATAAAAAATGTGAGAGTGCGTTCACCTCTCTCTCTCTCTCTCTTTCTCTCTCTCTCTCTCTCTCCTCGTTGTCGTCGACGTGCAGGGGTTATAACTCTTATCTGCAAAGCGCATTCCGCCTCGTAAAAATGCCGGAATATTTATCAGCCTCTACTCTACGTCGCGGGAGGAAAGGAAGTTATTACGTTGAGCAACATCAAAATCTGCGCTTGACATTCTGCTCTTGGCTCTCTTTAACTTTACAACTCGTCGCGTGCGTCGCGCATCAAATGAAAGAAGACGAAAGAGGGGAAGAAGAGCACGCGTGCGCTCCTTTAATTTTATGTTAAGCTCGTGTCGTAAACTAACTTTTTACGATTTCGTAAGGCTTTTCTCGACCCCCCCCTCTCGCACGTGCATAGCAGCCGCATACGTATTTGTGTAGCTGCAGGGAAAAAGAGCGCTGCAGCTCTTCGATTTGGCGGATAATGAGCGGTCATTATTTTCACGCTGTTTTAAGCCTTGCTCTGCCTGCAATATAGCGTGCATGCGCCAGTGAGTAATCCGCGCCGACCAATGTACTGTGTTTTGCGTTTTATTGATTTTCACGGAAATCCGCTGACTACGACGCTGCAGCATTTTTTTTTTTCACGAAAACTTTGTTTACGATTGACCTGATTTTCGATAACTTTTGGCTTGAGCAAGTGTATCTGGCGCGAGATGAAATTTTCTATGCGAGAGAAAAAAAGCGTGATGGTTTTCATTATTGGATATAACGAAATTATTAGATCGTGAAATCAGACTTTTCCAGAAAATTGAAAAATGTAAAACTAAAGCGTTTGTTTATAAAACGCAAGGTCGATAAGACTGCTTTTGAAATAACTACCGTCAATGTAATGATTAAAATGTGTAACGTTTAACGTAAGACCTTGTTTATTGAAGAACGATCAAAAAATAAATAATAAGCGAACGAAATAATTCCGTTGCCTTTGTCTTTCTTTGGCCAACGAAACGTAGTATAAAGGCGTCACGCTCATGAATCGAGCTGCCACAAAAAAAAAGTTAAATATAAACTGTGAAATTGAAACGACAATGACGGATAGTAGGTGTAAAACACGAAACAAAACGTGCTCACAAAATTAAATATCCACGTAGCCTAAAGGAACAACAGCCAGAGACGTGGCATTCAGAGCTGGGAAAAAAGCTGAGTCGGGTGATCATGTCTATTTGCCGTCTCGTATGCACCACGAGAAGTCGACGCGTGCCTTCATCCTAAGTAAATCTTCGTCATCCCCGCGCAGTTAGATATATAGATAGGAAGCCTTTTCGGACGTGCGCTTGGTAAGTCAGTACGTGTGTGTGTGTGTGTGTTGCAACAGCTGCCGCGCGCGCTAGATGTATATGTAATCGAAATTGGAAATTTCGAATAGGAAATTCGATTTCGCGCGCGCAAGTCCCCCGCGCGTATACTTCCGCTATTGGCTTGCCAATTATTTATGACAATGGCTGCGAGCGATAGTGTTTTCAGGAATTGTATTTTCTCATGATTAGTTTGGGAAATGCGCGATGAGCGATGAATTTCGAAATGCATATTCAAAAGATGAATGCGCGTTCCGTTTCGTGATTTTTTCTTTTATATGCGACTCCCATTGTTCTCGGCGGTATAGTGGCAGTGCAGCAGCTTCAGCACTTGATTGAAAAGTTTTTAATGAAATGCGAGAAAAGTCACGGGCGAGCGCGCAATTTTAGCGCAGCTCGGAGCAGTTCCCGGTCTGTTTACAATGCTACAGGTCGAGCCTATGCTTCAACTTCATCACACAATCGTGACTATTTACTTTATTATTGAGAAGTAAACAAGCCCAATGAAATGGTCGTTCGCGCGGTTGAAATTTCTGTTTACGGTATCAGCTGACCGACAAAGCTCTACGGGCGTCCATTGATCACGCTTATTGTTGGCTCGCATCGTCTAAGCGAATCAACCGATCAATCCGCATCGTCCTCTTGCTCGCCGTGGCCGTTGGGCTTTTTAGCGAGAGAGACAATACGAACGAGCCTCGCGATGTGTTCGTCACCGGCAGCCCACGCGAGCTATTACGCGCAAGGCTATTATGCGCTTGCACGCGCTAAAAGAAAGGAGAGAAAAAGAGACAAAGTGCAGGGCAACTAGCGACTCCTATTAGAGAAGTCACATTTTCCGCGCGCGCGGCACGTGTAAAGGGCGTAAAATGAAATTTCCTCTGTATAACGAAGGCACCACGTTTCACGCGCGACTTCGTTCGCTCTAGCCCGCATGGCTTCGGTCGACAAAAAAAAAGAGAGCAGAACATTATTCCTCATTTCCCCTATTTAATCGCGCTGGAGGTCTTATTACTCTCAATTTCCAAGGTATGGAGAAGAATAAATTCAGTGACAGTTGCTGATGCTTTCCGAATCTCTCTTTCCTTTTTCAGGTTTATGCCGATCATAATAATTTATTTCTTCGGGATATCGCTGTGAGAATGCGTATGAGAAGATCGCGATGCGACGTGTATGATTGATTGATTCATTCATTTTTTTCTACGTGAATAATGCCTCGAGCGAATTTCGGCAGGCTGGAGATAAATCATTAAAGTCATTCTGAAATATCTAACAAGGGTATTAGTATTAAAAATAATGCTCTATATCCGACCAACCGTTTTATCTGAAATTGTCGGTCATTAAATTATAAATTCGAGAGTCGTACACTATAAACCTGTTCGACTGGCGACACACGTGTGATAGATGAGGGTACGAGTCGTCGTATATAAGAACGGAAGTGTATTTTACGACTAGATTCGTGCTCTTTGGAGAGAGAAAAGGAATCCTGTAGAATATAGGTATAGGTGCATTCCAGCAATGACCATGGAGAAGGAAGTCAATACTTAAAGTGGCTTCAATCGGAAAGATAAGAAATCTTTCCTTCCCAGCCTGGGCTAACCAATACAGCTTTGAAATCTCGTTAGATACTTTTTGTTAATCTTGCCCAAATATAATCTGCTCTTCTATGCACGTTATTCAGTTAACGCTAAAGCTTTGTGCGTCTAATCGACATTCTTTAGCTTTGGTCCCGCCAACCGATATTTATTTATTATCTGATCGCTTCCGCCTTTGTGCTACAGAAACACATTCACGCGCGCGATATGTAGTTTCGAAGAAACGAAATCATCGTTAAGAAATCCCGCGTCTTTCCAAACAAGACGCGCGCCGTAGCGTTGCGCATCATCCCTCAACAAAGTGCTGCTCGACTTATGTGCGCAGCCACAGCTGCAGGGAGCCCGATAAGATATATATTTAGATATTCCAAAGTAATCATGCACACCACGTTCGAAGAATGTCCGCGACAGAGGTAGCGTTGGAGTGAGCGCAAAGAGATCATGTGGTACGCACATGGCGCGCGAG